CGCTTCCATCACCAAGAAACCTTCTTCATTGTCACCATCATCTTCAATGACGTCTTCATCTTCATAAACATCAGAATCATTAGAATTGACTTCCAAGCGTTGTGAATCCTTGGAATAATGAACGTCGAGGGGTGTGACACCATCGTCGCTTTTGACGTACCAAAAGTGAGTATCCCAATCGGTACCGATACGTAAGCTGTGCATGCCTTCTCTTCCAATAATGAGATTGTAACCATTATTTACGTCAAAGCATAACGCGTCAACACATACGAGTTTAGAAGTCCCAACCTTGATTCGTAAATTCTTGGCCATACCAACGGGTTTATACAGGTTACCATCGCCAAACATGAGTGAAGTATCAGCATGCACGAGTTCCTTGATTCCCAGTTGTTTCGCATAGTCAAGACTAATAATAAATGAGGTGCAACCACCATCCAAGATGACCTTGCAATTCTCTCCGTTTACCGAACCAAATGCTCTAGGGGCGCTCTTTCCTTTAGGTAAACCAACATTACATTCTCCAATAAGAACACTTTGGACTGGTAAGGTGACCGAGTTAGAATGGGGCTTGGTCATTTTTCCTTTTATCTTAGAACGACAAACAGGAAAGATTTCATTTATTTGGTTTAATGATAAGCAGATAACAGGTTCATTTACAATGGTATCAACAATAGAATCAATATTCTTATGTTTTTCTTGATACGCGGTAGAGTGGGCAATAGGTAATTGGGGATGTTTGGGTTTCTTGATAGGTAATTGTTTGTTGTTACGATTAGCCTTAGTGGTATTATCACTAATATCAACCGTATTTGGGTGGACGTCGCTTAATTGTTTGTTTTTGTCAATTGGCTTATTGGTGTAAGAAGATTTAGAGTTGATACGGCGTTTATTGTTAGCTCCGGCGTCTTGTCCCTGGGTCGACGTTGGCGTAACTTCCTTTTGTTTCCTTTTCTCCGATAAACAACATTCTTCTGCGATAAACAACATTTTTCTTCAATAAAAACAGCTTCTTCAGAAGATACCTTATTTCTCTTGTACTCCTTGCATTCATAATGTTTATGGAATGGGTCATTACACAACTTGCATGGTTTAGGACAGTCCCGCGAATAGTGTTCTGCATCATTACAATTCCAACAAGTAATCTTCTTTTTCTTGGGCTCATTAGGCGATTTTTTATTATTTGCTACTAATTTCCCAATCATAAGTGACATGTTTTTGAATTCCTTGATGAGGTCCGAGACAGGAAGTTCATCTTGAGTTTTGGTTTTGTTGATTGTTTTACCCTTTCGATTGTTATATCCAGATCGTTTCTTAGATGCTTGATTAATTTCGTCTTCACTGTCCGATGATGAGTAAGAACACTTAAAGTTACCAGAACCATCAGGTTCATCGGAAGATGATTCATCATCACTATCACAGATGTCCCGCAATAGCTCATAAGCCTTTTCAAGTGTTTGAGGTTTCTCAACCGTTAAGTAACGTCTCAAGCCCTTAGAGTATACTCCTTTAGAGAAGAATTTAACAAATCCAGCATCCGTGATAGATAATCCCGCACCTTCAGGCAAAAACATGGCTGTAGTAAAAGTAGACTTTAAGAGAGAATAGTTTTACAGAAAAAAATAGATAAAAGACAAAGAAAAACAATTGTAAGTCTTGTCGATTTATTTGTATAAAAATTAATTAAGAGCTAACTAAACGAGCAGGTTTGCCCTGATATTTATAGAAGATTGCAGATATTGTGGCTTGTATTTTTGACAGCTCAGATCCATCGTAGTTTTATATGATGGACCATTCATTTGGTTTATTGAAGATCGTAAGATAGCTGTCCTTGATTTATTATTGTTCCTGAAATTCTCTGATCTCTCATTGGTCGGAGCCTAGAGTTGAGTTATAATGAAGCTGGGTTACTTATCTACGATCTTTTATCCGTGAAACATTTTTCCTTTTGTAGACAGTAGCATTTATTATGTGGTTTTAGCACAATGGCAACCAAAGTTTCACTTTCGTTCAATGTTGACGTTTCAGCCTCAGTTGGTTCGCTACTGTGAGATGCCTTTTTCTGTTTGTTTGGTGTGTTAACGGGTGCATTATCATTAAGGTTTAGTGTTTGTTCGATAATTTCTCGGTTTTACAACAGGCGTTTTGTTTCAAAAGTTCGATGTAATCGTCAATAGTTTCAGTTTTAAGCATTTTAAAATTGATTATATCAACGAAAACCTTATCGATTTTGACTTTCTTTGCGTACTTGTTTAGAAACACTGTTTGAAATTGTTTCCAGTTCTTGAAATTTTGTTGCATAGACCAAACTTGCATGGTTGTGTCAAAACAATTGTCCACGTAGTTTAATTTTACTTCCACCGTCCATAGATTCAAATTAGCCATCTTGTTGTATCTGAATAACCAAAGTTCAGGATCATCTTTTCGTCTGAATTTAGGTAATTGGAACATTTGTTATAACATAAACGTTTAGTAATAAGCAGTAAGAGAGTAGAATATAATTGAGATCAGCAGGAGTCCTAGCCGTTTGTATAATGTAATAGACGTCTTGAACTTCCTTCTGATAGAAGGCACCAGATATTATGTGGACTGTGTTTTTAACTATATTTTATTAATACCAACTGATGAAATGCTAGATAATGAACTAGCAATGAAGTAAAGATAAGAGAATATCTAATAATTAAACTAACCAAAACACCGCAAAATTACGGTAGAGGTTAACAACGATTTTGGCCGTATCCGTGACGGATCTGGTCAATTTTTGACAATTCTGTATCCTGGACAGGAATTCTTGAAAAATGACCGTATCCGTGACGGATCTGGTCAATTTTCGATCATTCTGTATCCTGGACGGGGCAAGTTTATAAATTGACCGTCTCCGTCACGGATCTGGTCAATTTTTTGTCATTTTGTATCCTGGACAGGGCAAGTTTATAAATTGACCGTCTCCGTCACGGATATGATCAATTTTTGATGATTCCGTCTCCATCGCGGCCACGGCCAATTGCTTGTCGTTCCTAGACCAATCTCAGTTGGTTCGATTCCGTCGTCTAATGTGATAGATGCTCTCAGAGCCACGCTTTATTTTTCTTTTTTGTAATAAATAAATGATTTCTCTTTCTTCCCTATATCTTTCAAAGCCACGCATTGTGGGGTCAACTATGAATAATATCAATGTCACAAATGACCAAGAATCTAGCCAACAAACACCTCTCACTCGCACAGAAGTGGAGGCATTATTCAGAGAGCTCGAGAAAGAGAAATCCTATCCAACAGGACTGAACTCTCCGAAGAAATTTGGGAAGCATTGTACAATACATCTACAACACAACTCAAAGATGATTTCAAGTAATAAAACGCTCGATCCAACGATACAACAATGATAACTGGACAAAGCCAGAACAAATCAACAAACAATTTATTCCAGACCTTAAAAGCTGGAAGATGGATGTATACCAACTCGTGTGTGCCATTCATAAGATCACTGAAACTACAAGAATCCAAGCCAGAGCTAGTACCGAACTTTATGAACAGCCTAAATTTTTACGAGATAAAGCCCACTTTACCTCTAGGAAAGACAACACCATTGAACAAGCGCAACGTCTTGCCATCTTCGGATTTGGTTCCGCAAACGTACAAGAGAAAGACGCCAAAGACATCTCAATTAAGGTACTTAGACTTCCCTCAAGTATCAAACACTTGGAATATGAAGCCTGAAGAAGATGGAAAAGCAAATACTTTCAATAGAGACTTTGTTGAACAACTTCAAAGAGCTTGCTTTGAAGACAAGGTCATTGTTGTGATCGAGCTTTATATATTCATGTATGCTTGATCTACACAGCATATTTTTATCCATTACGATAATTTTATAAACACTTCTTTTAATGTTGCATATTAAATATTCACAATCGACTTAACAAACTAACACGATATTCATCAAGCTAAATACAAGTACAAAAGTATACATTTATTATACAATTATTATAAAAAGACATTATTAATATATTGTACTAATCAGATTAGCGGAGGCCAATGACAAGCGAGGTTTAAAAGTACAAACACGATAAATTTTTGAATGTACTGTGATATTTGATAAAATGCACGTAAAAAATAATGAGATAAAACGAATATTTTTATTAGGGTAAAAATAGACTAAAGAACTCTGTTGCTCTGAAATAATCAATCCTTTTTATATTGCCAACATCTCCTGGATTTATGATGAGTCAACCTTTCTGGTTTTGGAATAAATCTATATTTTAGTCTTCCATCTTGTGTTATCTAAACTCTACTCGTTAGAATTGATTAAAGGTAACGTTGTGCCAGATTTGTTAAACGGGAACACGAGTATTCTGACAAATACTTGGTGCAGTGGCACACTTCTTTGTAAGATCGTGTAACGGATACTGTTAAAAGATACACACTTGTTTGTCAAGTGTAATTGGCAGTAGAACATAATAGTTGATCATTTATTCATTATCTTTGTAATGAATAAATTACGATCCCAAATATAAAATGTCTTATCGATATTTGTATATTTGGTTGTAGAAGCTAGGTATCCATTAATTCATACACTATTTCTTTATACTCTTTATCAGCAGTATAACTATATCAATATATAAGTAAATGAACCATTTATATTAATAGCTGTTCTATTCTCTCTCTGGGTGGCTAATCCATTGAGAGAACTATTAATATTAAGTTTCTCTTTCTTATAATTCTTGATTGATCTGAGAAGTTTCTCTTCTCGATCGGTGATATCGTAACTCAGTGGTATAGCAGTCTGTATCCAACTGTCATTCGTATATCGTATTTAGGCCAATCGTGCAATCTTTTATATAGAAGTATGTACTCGAAGTAGGAGAAGTTGTATAGCAGTATACAAGCGTATGCTGATATGCAACATCAAAGGATGTTTTAATTTCATAGTTTATTTATTTAAACGATTTGCTTAATTATTTTTAAGTGAATCGTACCCAAATACGACAGCCTTCCACCAACACTTATCAAAGAGGTCGTCGAGGGGGTGAGCGACGTTGAAAACCCTCCTGTGATTGGGTGGCATTGGTGTTTGAGGTGGCCTGTTGGGGCTGGGTTGATTTTGGAATGGGTGTCGGATTACCAGAATTGGGGTGGGTACTGGCGTGAGAGGATCCAGTAGGTTGCGCAAAGCGGTGAGGTCGGGGCCTGTGGCTGTGTTTTTTGGCTTGTGTGGCATTCTGAACAGATTGTTGTAACTTAATATGTTCCACCATTTCTTTATTATCCAACAAAGAAGTTTCAGATGTATCAAGAGATGGGGGCTCGAGAGACGCAGGTAGTCCCTTGAACATATTATCTGTACGAATTTGGGTGATGTGTGAGGCCAAATTAGAAAGTAACTCTTGCATGGTATGAGCAAAATTGCGGGATTGATTGTGAAGAACTTCAGGTTCCCATTGATTGTTTTGGAGTTGATACGTAAACCTATCCAAAGGTCGGGTAAGGCCAGAAAGTCGTTACTGAATTTGATGAAGATGTGAATCAAATTGTTTGTGTGCGGCTGAAACATTAACTTTGTTAAGTTTTGGAGGGTCATATTGTTGGATGGAATTCTTAGGACACTCGAAGAAATATTTTCGTCTATCTGAATCTGATAGAGGTCGTCTGAGGAAATCCTCTTCCAAGTACGGGTGCTGTTCCAACATCTGAACATCTGGTGTAAATTCAGAGCCAGGAGAGCGAAGCTGCACATTAGGATCATCGTTAATGATATTTGCTGTAGCCAATCGACTCTCCAAATGGTTAATACGTTGGAGGAGGGCAGTTGCCCAAGCGGGAGGATTAGTGTTTTCATCTTCCATAAGAAACAACGACGATGTAAGTCCAAGAGCGTGGTAACAAAATTTTCGAAAGAAAAGAAGATAGTGTAATAGACTTAAAAATAAATTGTATGTATGTAGTATAATGTAGTACAGATTTCGAATTTTAATAAAGAAAAGTTGGCAAACCACAAAGTTCCAGCTCGAAGTGTAATAATGGCAGTATCCGTCACGGATATGGTCAAAATAATAAAATACTGGCAGTATACGTCACGGATATGGTGAAAATAATGAAATAATGGCCGTATCCGTCACGGATACAGTGAATTTAAAATCCACGTCAGTCACGGTTACGGTGAAAAATTGGAAAAATTGGCCATATCCGTCACGGATACGGTCACCGTTGTTGTGAGTCCAGCTTCGGACATTCAAAGTATAACCTCAATAGAAAATAACTTCTTTCCTCAACATTATTAGTTTAAGACAAACACCAATTACTACCTTCGTACCTTTGCAAGATATATTATACAAATAGTTTATCCAGAATATTTAGTATAAATACTCTTCTAGATTTAATCAATAAACAATTATCTTTTACTTGAATAAATAATCTGTGGCTTAAGCTACTCGAACTCTAATTTATCTCTGTCTGATCAACTTCTCTAACTTATTTTATGGTGGAGTAGCTGCTCTTTTCCTGCGCCCTATATTTTATTCTGTCAAAACTCTGTGTTTACCTCTCTTCGCTCTACCACTCTGAATCTCTGTGATTATCTCTATAATGTCTGCTACAAACTCTACTCTCTTAACTCAGCTCCTCGGACAACTTTTGTCTGAAAGCCGCCTCACCAACTCTGTGATTTCTCCCGTCTACGATCCTCAGGAGAACATCAACAACTGGCTCAATCAATATGATCTCAATTGCAAGCGTCTGGCACTTACTGATGACCAAAAACTAACACAAATCGGTAAGTACTTGCCTGCGGAAATTTCCAATTGGGTATCTCGTACTCCATCTGCTGCCACTTGGGGTTCTCTCAAAGTTGCCCTCATCAACACCTACGGTATTCCACTCGAAAAGTACAAACTCTTACTTCGTCGTCCTTTGGAATCTCTTCGCCAAGGTAACTTACCCTCTCGCCGCTTCTCGGTTATGTTCGAATCCATTGTGTTGGAATTTGATTCTACACATGCTCTCGATGCTCCTACATTGCGTATCATCTACCTTCGAGTCATGTCGTCTGTGGAAAAACGGTTTGTTTGACACGGAAAAATAAAAGATAAAAAAACAGGAAGAATAAGATTAATATTGCTTGTAGGCTTTTTTATTCTTATTAAAAGTGAATCCCTCTTTCATCTCTGAAAGAAAGGGGGGTATTTATAGTTATTTAAAGCGTGGGTAAAATTATGGCTCGTTTGTGTTCACTTGGTATTATTGGCTGTATTTACTAATGACTGATGAGCCTTATCAGTGTAGCCAATCTATTATTCGAAATGGGATCTTCTATTGGAATATCTAGTAACCCTGAGTTGTAAATGTATAACTCAGGATATTTTTTATGCTATTATTTTTTTATGAGTGTTATGATATTATGTACCTGTCGATCAAGGATCGATGGAATGATTTTATATGCGATTTTATATGTTAAATAGTGCGATTTTAGTACATGCTCCCCCACCAGCGTTAGCGCAGCTCGCGAAATAAGGAATTATTAATTGATGTACAACAAAATACAACTACTACTTTTTAAGTACCATTTTTTTTTTTTTATACTTTGTAGTAACCATAATTATTATGCATGAATGTCAAAATCCAGAAAGTGGGACTGAGATACAAAATTGGGGCTTATACAAATTTTTTTTTTTTTATACGCCTATTATTTGTACAAGGGGTTTCCTCTTATCAGTTCTTTCTTGTTTTACTTCTTAAGACACGTTCACGTAGTTGACTGGAACTATTTTTACTGTTGTGCTTTCTTTTTTTACTAGATGGTATGTTTACAACTTCATTGTCTGTTGACGATGCATTGCTAACCGATTTCCGTTGTTGTTTATTAGAATCCGCGACCAGTTTAGCATTTCTTTCTTGGTCTAATTTCTTTTGTTCATTTACTTTAACCCAGTATTTGCGAATTGTTTCGGGATCCGAGAATGCAGCTGCGTCAAGCCAGGAATTTTCTCGTTCACCATAGCCTACCCAATTTACGAGATATTGTCTATCGTTGACTGGCCCTTTATGCGTGCGAATTTCTTTCACTTCATATAATTTATCTTCAATGGCACTTTCGTCGATGGTAACAACTTTCAGTTCTGATGGTACGTAGTCTCTGTGGAGCATCTCATTCATTTCATCTTTTAACACATATGTACCAGCTTTGGTTTTAGTGACGACGGTAAATGGTCCTTCATATAGAGGAGAGAGTTTGCTTGCTCGGGACGGTAATTTCACCATGACAGTTGATCCAATGGGAATATCAATAAGGTAGTGATTATCATCAAATCTTTTTCTCTGTAATTTCATTAATTCGTTCGTTCTTTGGTGTATAGCGGGAAAGACGATGTCAGCCATGTATTCAGCCTTTTTTATCAAGTCATCCACTGTAGAAACCTTATTTGGAAGAGAAGATTGTGTTGAAGGGTCGTTACGATCCTGTATAGTAGGGAACTGTCGAGCAAACATAAGTGAGAAAGGACTACTGCCTGTTCTATTGCGTATTTTTAAATTACAACACAATTGTGCTGCTGGTAAGATCGTGTCCCATTTGCTTGTATCATTGCCACACATTTTCCTAACCGTATTTACGATATTTTTCACAGCATTTTCTGCGCAACCGTTGGATTGAGGGTAATAAGGTGTGGAGAAGCGATGAGGTATGCCGAGGGTCTTTGTAATCGACGCCATCAACCCATTCCGATACTCACACCCATTATCTGTTAAAATTGCGGTACTAGGTAAACCATAGTCGCCAAAGATCTGACAGAGAGCATTTGCAACAGTATCACTTTGTTTGTTCGGGAGAGCCTTTGCTACGATATAGCGAGTACAGATATCAACGACAATGAGGATGTAGACATTTTGATTAGCAGTTACACTGAAGGGTCCAGCCATATCTGATGCAATGTGTGCAAAAGGTTCGGCAGCTACTATAGACTTTAATGGATGATACCCTTTTCGAGCTATATTGTGTCGTGCGCAATCAATACAACTGCTGACCACTTGTTTAGCTTCGGTGAATATTCCAGTCCAGTGTAATCCTTCTTCGTGCAATCTTTGGACGATACTTTCTGTACCGAAATGTCCCAGATTATGTGCATCACGTAATAGTTTATGTCTGTTTTCAATCGGTGGAGCGATATAGTCGGTAGGATTTGTTTTGTACTGTGGAGAGTCTATTTTCACGGCTAATACATTAAGGTTTGCGTCTGTGCTCTTAATGCTTCGTTTGTAAATAAACTTATCTGTCGATGTGATTTTATCGGTAGATTTAAAACTTTCAACGGGATTTCGTTTTCTTCTTTCCAAAATAATTCGATTCAATTGTTTGATCTTTTTATCTTCTTCTTCAAGTTCTTTATCATCATCTAAAGGTGGATATAGTCTGCTGAGCAGGTCAGGCAAGACGTTATCAATTCCTTTGATGTAGGTGACCGTGAATGAAAATTGATTTAAAACATCCATATAAGATTGAATTGTTCGATTTGGAACGTGCGTGGTATAATAAAATGTAATAGCACGGTGATCGGTCCAGACTTCTATTTTTGGATGACCCAGTAATAAGGATCGAAATCTTTGGAATCCGTAATAAATGGCAAATAGTTCTCGTCGATTGACTGACCAGTTTTGAGCCGATGTAGGTAAAGATGTACTTGCCATAGCGATGATGATGGTTCTATTCTTATCATCACGTTGAGTTAAAACGGCAGATGCAGCATATTGCGAGGCATCTGTTTCAAGGTACATTTTATTTTCCATACGAGGTGTGTGTAACACAGCTTTAGACAATAGTATTTGCTTGATATTATTTAGACGATCAGTATGAAATTGTGTCCATTTGTTTTTCACATCTTTATCATTTCGCAACTTATCTAAAGGAGCAGCTATGTCAGATATCTTTGGTACGTAATTTCTCAGATATGAGACGACACCCATGATTTTTCTGACTTGTTCAGCTGATTTAGGAATAGGCCATTCGTGGATATTAGACAGTCTACGTTGATCAATTTTTGTGATGCCAGGTCCAATAACGAACCCGAGCATGTAGATACTGGTTTTAAAGAATGTGCATTTAGCGTAATTAATTTTTAGATTAGCAGCAGTTAATTTATCGATTGCTCTCTTTACAATGCTGGCATGATTCTTAGCATCAGAGAATATACAACAATCATCAACGTACGTGGCTATTTGTGCTTCACCATTAAAAATGATATTCATAACGCGGCAAAATTGACTAGTGACAAATTTGAGACCGAAACAAGTTCCTACCCATTTATAGGTTTTATCATCAAACATAAAAGATAGTACTTCTTGACTGGCTTCATCCACTTTGAAGCTATTGTATGCAGACTTTAAATCAAGCCGACTAAATACAACTCCAGTAGATACCTTGTCAAAAATATCTTGGATATTAGGGACAGCAAAATCTTCTACCAACGAATCATCTATGTTCATGTTTTGTCTTCTGAGATCAAGACAGATTCTTGTATTGGTAAGATTGTTATTTTCATCCTTTTTTCCAATGGCTAATAATGGTGAATTAAATTTGTTACTTGGCTTACTCTCTACTACAACCCCTGAACTTAACCATTCGGCTAATTGTTTCTTTATTTCAGGTCGAGCATGATAAGGTAACGGGTACTGACGGATGTAACAGTTTGTGGCATCCTTCTTTATAGGTATTCTAACGATACTTTCAGGAATATTGCAAAACTGACCCGGTTTAATTTCAGCGTTTCTTTTTACAGAAGGTTCAATAAAATTCATAAATTGTTCTCTTTCAATCGCTGTGCCAAATTCAGCATTTTCAGGATCATATTTATCCGAAGGATCATAGTTAGCGTTTTCGAATTGAATATCTTCAGATTCTTCATCATCTGGATATTTATGTGCTACATTAGTTAAACCAATATTTAAATGAGTTAGGATATCTGTGCCTAACAATATGTCATATTCTGTATCAAGTGGATCTAAAAATTCAACCACTTCAAAACAAAATTCAAAACTTATATCATTAAGATATCTAACTTTCATAGGTTCAGTTTGACCGATTCTTTTAGCAGAGTTAGAGAGGAAATTTAAATTGCCTTTTGTAATATTTATTTTTATTTGAGGAAAGAGATTATTTAAAATGTATTTATTGATACATGTGGTGTCACTTCCTGTGTCTACTTTTCCTTTCAGTTTTCTATTATTAAGAATGAGAGGAGTGATTAATGATTTGTAAGGATTGAATACATTTTCATTTGCTTTCTTACATTCATAACTGTCATTTTCAAAGTTGTTGGATGGGCCGCCACGATCGGGCTTCTTTCCCTTACGATCTTTGTTGACAGAGAGGATTTTCTTATCACCAAATTTATCAAGATATTCTTGACAACGATGTCCGTGAGACCATTTCTTACCACAGTGGGTGCAGGGGACAAAAGAGGTAGCAGGCTTGGGTCGGTTCTGACTTCCAAGGAATTTTCGTTGATGACTGGGGCCATCGAAGGTGCGAGAGGTGTCATCGGTAGACTTACCTGCATACTTGCAAGTGGATTCATCATGGGAGTTGTTATCTCCGTGATACTTACAGTAAAATTTAGCATCGTGGTTCGTACGTTTTTTAGGCGTACGATTGGCATCAGGCGTGTCGTACGACTTACGCTTGTGTCCAGAGGAACTGCCATCATTATTAGGCGTTTTATCCCCAAATACATTAGTTGCAGCCTTATACACATCTTCGGCTGTCCAGGGGACATTTTCCACTTGGTGTGAATTTACAACTGTCATTACGTTAGTTTGCCAATGAGCAGGCAAGGCAAGGAAGTACAAGTCGGCCATGATTCGGTCCGAAACTTGGTACTCAGATTCTTCGACCATTTGAATGAATCTGTTATCAAAGTCCGAGATATTTTCATCTGAGTGCATACACATGGAGATTAATTCCTTGGTAGCAAGGACACGCATCTGACGATTGCCAAATTTCTTTTCAAGGACTTTCTTGGCTTCGGCCCAAGAGTCACAGACAAGGAGTTCTTTTCTCATCCAAGCTTTCAAGACGTCGGCGAGTGAAACAGTAATTAACTTTTTCCACGTAGTCTTCACGTTTTGATTCGCGGACAATACGACTTCCTCAAAAGTCTTGATGAAATCATCAATGGACTTAAAAACTCTCTCACCACGAAATTGTGCATAAGTCTTTCCAGTAATTTGGAGACGAGGCAGATCTGTACGATTCAATGATAAACCTTCATTTGAGGCTGGGTTAGTAGCGTACTTTGATGCTTCGGTACCTTTAATCCCGATGGATGGTACAGGCTTAGAAGTAGAGGCTAAAGATTGGATGATGGAATTCTTTTTCTCAATCTCAAGGGACATTTCATAGGCACGATCATGATCCTCTTTAGATACATAACCGCTAGAAAGAATAGCTACCATGGCTTCCGTAGTAGCTTCACGTTGCTTAAGTAAATTATTAATGATACTAGTGGGGCTTTGTAAAGTTACAGCCGTAATAGGATCAGCTAAAGGCATGTCAGTGTCTAAATCGACTTCCTGATTATCCTGCTCAAATGGAATACGGGCGATGTCTTCATCTATTTCCCTATGTACACGTTCATCTTGTGCAGCTTGCCATTCAGCAGAGGCTTGCTCATTCAAGGGAGTGTTTAAAGTAGCGTCAGGAGTACCAGCAGACATTTCCTTGTTGGATGAACCAGAAGCGAGTTGGTCATAGGCACTAGGGCCGGAAGGAGAACCAGAAGTAGTCATAGTAGTGGATAGTAGTTGGAAGTAAAAAGTTTACAAGGAGGTAATCTTAAAAAATGTGGAAAAACGGTTTGTTTGACACGGAAAAATAAAAGATAAAAAAACAGGAAGAATAAGATTAATATTGCTTGTAGGCTTTTTTATTCTTATTAAAAGTGAATCCCTCTTTCATCTCTGAAAGAAAGGGGGGTATTTATAGTTATTTAAAGCGTGGGTAAAATTATGGCTCGTTTGTGTTCACTTGGTATTATTGGCTGTATTTACTAATGACTGATGAGCCTTATCAGTGTAGCCAATCTATTATTCGAAATGGGATCTTCTATTGGAATATCTAGTAACCCTGAGTTGTAAATGTATAACTCAGGATATTTTTTATGCTATTATTTTTTTATGAGTGTTATGATATTATGTACCTGTCGATCAAGGATCGATGGAATGATTTTATATGCGATTTTATATGTTAAATAGTGCGATTTTAGTACATCGTCAAAGATCCGTAACATGATTTTGCCGAACATCGCTAACAAGCTTTCTTGGGAATCCATTGCCAAATCAGCAATCGCTATTGAAGAATCTCTGTCTTTGGATGAAACACTATTGGAATCCGCCTTTGCCAATTTGTCAATTGATTCTAGTCCAGCCATTCAACCCACTTCTGTCACAAGCAATACCACCTATGAGAACGTCGATCCAATGGAAATCAATGCTCTTAACACCAGCTCCCACTCTCATTCGTCCTCCCGCTCGGGTAAATTTCAACACAAGAAAACCCGTGAGAAGTCCGATCCGATGCGTCTTTGGGCCTCCGATGGTCAACCTATCTGTGGTATCTGCAAGAAAGTTGGACACCTCACCAAGAAATGCTCCCAAAACCCTGAATCCACCCACTTCAGACAGGTGCATAGTATGTCCGCTGCCAAGACTATCGAATATGCTGCCATTCCTTTAGAATATGACCCTATTGGGATTCAACATGCCGCCGCTATCCAGAGCATCGACCCAGTCCAGCAATGCAACAATGTCGATCTCAGCAGTGGTTCTTGCTCCACACCTCGGGTCCGTCTGACTATCAAAGGCAATTTGGTTCAAGCTCTCGTATATACTGGTGCCAGCATTTCAGCTGTTCGTGCTACTATCGCTTCTGGTCTTGGTCTCCAATACGATACGTCGAAAGCTGCCGCTTTTACAACCGCCGACAACAAGAACGTTTCCTCTCTCGGTGTTACCTATGTCAAAGCCATGCTGGGTAATACTCGGGTATCACTTGCTTGTCATGTTGCTCCTAACTTGGCACATGAAGTTATTTTTGGCTATCCAAATCTTAAGCGCCACAAGATTCTCATCGACACCAATACTGATGAGATCCGCCTGCCCAAGTCTATCTCAACGTTGTCACCTTCAGCACCCGGCGTATGTGCAATGGTCTCTTCCCTCCGCTTACCCCGTCATTCACATGCCTACGTTGACATCTCTGGTCCTCCAATGGCATTCGCCTTTATCTCGACTCCTAATGACACTGTCATGAAGAAGATGCTTTCCGTCGCTGCGGGTGTTGTGAAGTTTAATGCCGATGGTGTTGCTACAGTCAAGTTGGCTAATTTAGATAAGGATTTTAAACATGTTAATAAAGGACAGCATATTGCTAATTTCGAATATTTGTCACCGACCCTTAGATTGTATTCTCAGAACGATCTATCCATTAACAATGTGTCCAACCAATCTAATCCTCAAGCATCTGTAGCCATGCCTGATTTTTCGCCTTTTATTGGTCAACACCTGAGTCCTTCTGAACATGCGTCGATGACAATTTTACTACAAGAATTTCCTGATTGTTTTAGTTCCAAACCATCTTCTGTGACACCAAGAGTCCAACATTCCATTGACACCGGCAACACCAGACCCCTATCTCAGCCACCTGTCGTATTTGGGTATGATTTATTTGAGAATAAACAAATAAATCGAATAAAATAAAAACATGGAATAAAAACATCCTTTAATATTGAGTAACAGCATACACCTGTATACTGCTACACAACGACTCCTACTATGAGTACATATTTCTATATAAAAAGATTGCATGATTGGCTTAAAATCGATATACGAATGACAGTTGGATATAGAATTCTATACCACTGAGTTACGATATCACCGGTCGGGAAGAGAAGCTTCTCCGATCAAATCAAGAAATATAAGAAAGAGAAACTTAATATTAATAGTTCTCTAAATGGATTAGCTACCCATAGAGAGAATAGAACAGCTATTTATATAAATGGTTCATTTACTTATATATTGATAAACCCAACTTATACGACTGTAAGTGTATAAGAGAAGTAGTGCATGGAATATTTGGATGCCTATTTTCTACAACTAAATATACAAACATCGATAAGATGTTCTATATTTAGGATCACATATTTACCCATGTCTTAGATAAAAATAATCAACAGAATGGATAAATGATCAGACATAACTACATGTTCTACCACAGCCAATTAAACACAAAAACCTTATGCATCTTTTAACTAGCCACCGTTACACAATACCTTACTGGAATTCTGTATTTTAAACAGAACAATAAGAGTGTCCCAGATCGGTTGATTCAGGGCGACGTTATTTGAAATCAATTCTAACGAGTAGAATTCATTTAATGTAAGGCGGGATACTGAGTATAGATTTATTACAAGACCAGAAAGGTTGACTCGACACAACTACCAGGGGAAGTTGTTCAATATAAAAAGGATCAATTATTTCATCGCAGCAGAGTCTTTTAGTCTATTTTTACCTCGAATAAAGATATACTTTTTTCTCATTACTTTTTCTTTGTAATATTTTTGTCAAATACCACACCACCTCCTCGTGCGTCTGCTGGTGAAAATGAAACTATTGACTCTCTGTTGGACGAAATGCTACAACAAGGTATTGTTCGACCTAGCAACTCTCCTTGGGCATCTCCTGTTGTACTGGTCAAGAAACATGATGGCTCTCCTCGATTCTGTGTCGATTACCGCCGGATCAATGCTGTGACCCGAAAGGACGTCTATCCTTTGCCGCGCATCGATGACACCGTCCACAGTTTAGGTAACTCGAAAGTATTTTCCACTCTAGATCTAACCTCGAGTTACTGGCAAATCGAACTTGACGAAGAATCTAAGGCCAAATCCGCTTTTATCTGTCGAAGTAGACTATACGAATTCGTCCGTATGCCGTTTGGTCTCACCAACGTCCCTGCCACCATGCAACGACTTATGGAATCCGTTCTGGCTGGCTTACGGTGGCAAATCTGTTTGGTCTACTTGGATGATATAATTTGTTTCAGTCCCACTTTTGAACAACACCTACAGGATCTCCACGCGGTCTTATCTCGCCTCCGTTCGGCATCTCTTACGGCTAACCTGAAGAAGTGTAAGTTTGTCAGCGATCGTATCTCCTTTCTCGGTTATGCTATCACTCCTGATGGTTTACATACTGATCCTGAGAAAATCCGTGCTGTGTCCCACTTTCCAAAGCCATCTGATATTACCACTTTGCGCTCTTTCCTTGGATTGGCTGGATATTACCGTAATTTCATCAGTAAATTTTTGGTCATTTCCGCCCCACTCAACGACCTTTTGAAGAAAGATGCCTCATGGGTTTGGAATACACCTCACGAAACCGCCTTTGTCACACTCCGTAATGCGCTGGTTTCTGCACCGATCCTCCGATTCCCAGATTTTTCAAGATCCTTCGAGCTTCACACGGACGGTGCTTGTACTGCCGGTATTGGTGTAATCCTGTGTCAACGTGACCCTACCGATAAACGTGCCTATGCCGTTGCCTATGCGTCTCGTTCGTTGGCCCCTGCTGAGAAGAACTATGGTGTATCAGAAGTCGAAGCCCTTGCGATCGTATGGGGTATTAAGAAATTCGCACATTACCTCACTGGTGTCGTATTTGACGTCTAATTCCACGAATATAATTACTCTTATCTTGTCACTCAACTATAATACATACAACCTATGTATTATAAGTACCATATTGCGAATACATTCCTATTGGTACGACACAGTACCAGCTCCCTCATATGTCAAACTGAGATCAGATTTCATAATCGTTCCTGGATTGGTCGAGTAGCTGCCGAATCTTCTAGTTTCTCATAAATTTATTTTAGTAATCCAATCAAGGACCCTGTCATTAAATGGATAAACTATAATGCTCTAGAAGTGCCGGATATGGGTCAACTAGCTCCTTGTATATAACAATAAGCTATGTTTCATATGTATCTGATTTCTAAATCTAATTCTACCATTTCCCAGTTTGCGGGTAAATAGTCAATTCGATCTGCGCAGGAAAAATCTTGAAGTAATAATTGAATATAAAAAGGACCTCTATTTTTATCATGACAAACTCTCCAACTTATAATAAAGGATTATAGAGTCTCATTTCTTTACTTGCTTTATTTTCCCAATTACTTTTCCCTTTTTATTTCTCAATTATCACAACTGGTACCAAATTCACTGTCATCACCGACCGCCATGCCTTACAATTCTTGAACAATCATAAGTCTACTGATCTTCGTGGTCGACTAGCTCGATGGACCTTGGGCTTACAGCAACACGATTTTGACATCGTCTACCGTCCTGGTTCACAAAACGCTGGTCCTGATGCTCTTAGTCGCTACCCGTAGAACGACATCCACCTCAAGCTCTTATCGCTTCCCTTCATGGTTCAGATCTGTCCTCTGCTCAAACTGAGGATCCATTTTGCCAAGAAATTCGTCAAGAATCCCCTCTTCCTAATGGTTTTTCTGATGAGTCTGGTATCTTATTCTTTGGTCCACATCCAGTTTTACCTCTTTCACTTCGTGATGTTACGTTTGACCTTCTACATGCCAACCCTACCGCCGGCCATATGGGGATAGGCCGAACTCTACAACGATTTCGACGTCTGTATTATTTTCCTGATCAGTCTGCCTGGATTGCTTCCAAAGTCAAATCTTGTATCGTCTGTCAAAAAGTCAAACGAACCAATCAAACGCTGGGCCATACCAACTTGGTTCATACGAATCCTCCGGTGCACCCTTTCGACACTATTGCTATTGATGCTTTCGGTCCACTACCCTTGACCCTCTCTGGAAATCGGTACATCATTGTCGTCCAATGCATGTTCTCTCGATATGTGATGCTTTTTGCGGTCCCAACTACCACCGATCAATACCTAATTCGCTGCCTTAGTCAAGTTATTGGTGAACATGGAATTTTTCGTGCAATTCTCAGTGATAATGGCCCCGCATACTCTGGCATCATGCTCAAGGCCCTCGCAACACACCTTCAAATCGATCAAAAATTTGCACCAGCCTATCATCCACAATCGAACGGGTTAGTTGAACGCTTCATGGAAACACTTAAGAACATGATCAGTTCCTACCTGGATACAGATAATCACCAAAACACTTGGGATTCTCATTTGTCTGAATTTCAACTGGCTTATAATTCTTGTGGTAGTTGAGAATAGATTTTAAAAGAGAAAAACAATAAAGTACTTTGAGACTGCTTATAAGTTTTATTAAGAGTAAAAAGTAGATTCAAAGATTGAGAGGGTTCTATTCTAACTATCAGTTTGCATATTTATATATGTTAAGAGAAATCGGATTATGAATTTAGTTTGATGGATAAGTTACACAGCACTAAAATAGTGCTTGTAGTTGGATATGATATAATGTATAAGAAATTAGTTCGTGTTGTGATGTAATAACGTATGGGGTGATGAAGTGAGATTTAATTTTCACTATGGCGGACATACCAGCAGCTGTGAATTAAATGGCAACATAACTGCCATTTTTTTTATTTGCTCGATATCCCCAGCCAATAAGATTCGAGCAAAAGATTGATACAAATGATCATAATATCATAAAAAAACAAAAATGCTTCAAAATCATTTCTGGAACCGTCAATATGTAGTTTAGATGTTATAGAAACTATCTGAAAGTTAAAATTAGATTGCTATATGCCAAAAAATCGATGCAATATTGATCCGAATTTGATGGGTTACGGTATAAAAAATGATTTTTTGCGCTTGTGAAGCAAATAGTAACAAGTTGCCATTTTTTTACTTATTTTTGTTTAAAAAAAAAAGATATTGCGCCTGGAAAAACTTGGGAATGACAAGGGATTCAAAATTCACCAGTGTAAGAGAATGTGGTGTGCTAAAAGCTTGTTAAGGGAGAGCTTTAAAAGTGACAACCAAACACACAGAAGAAGGATAACAGTAAAAGGTTCTTTAGCGGTTTGTTACATAACTATCAATAACAAAGTATAAAAATGTAGAATCAACAAGTTCCCGATAGTTCAGACTCTATCAATGACGCTTTCGAAAATATGAGTCGCGATGAGTCCCCCATCATAGCGGACGTGCTGTAAGTTTTTTTATTGTTTTTCATGCATGATATATGTATACTCATATGCGATAAATATTTTTTATACAGTTCTCCTCCACCAGAGGTAGCGAATAAACCTTCACGTAAAAGAACCAGAAGAAGATAATAGTCGTGTCTGGTCGACATGATTGGTCCATTCTGGTTTTTAGCTTCTTTATTAGTGTGTATTTTAGCGTTCTTTTAGCTTACAGTTTTTTCTCTCTTTCTTTTACTTTTATTTATCTTTTAAAATAAATAGCCTTCAAATAATGATGGTAAGGGTATAGAGCCCCTTCAAAATAACGGAAAGTGTGAACAAATATGTTGGAATTGAGTATGTTTGCAATGACTGAAGCAATGACTTGTAATCTGTATAAAAAACTAAAGGGTTTTTTTTTAGATAAAAATTTAGCGTATTTTTTTTTATTTTGATCAAACTGAATTACGCCTGTATAATATAACCATTTTCCATAGATAATGGTCCTCATCAATAAACGGTTCTATCTTTACAGGTAAATAGCCTTTAAAAACTTATGTTTTATTCTTATTGATATGATACTGCTTACATATAGACTATTTATTCTGTGTACCTTTCACTCAAACGACGACATTTTAGGAACACCACCGGTCAAATAATCATCGACATCAGAACTTAAGGCTGGTAATAAAATACAGAATTAATAACAATATTACTATTTTCTTACAATACCTTTATAGAGTGTTAAGAGAATCAAAGGTAAGCTAAAGTAACATCCAAGCATTATAATGGTATATCTTATTGCCATGTATACAACCACAAACGTAAATAAAGAGGTTAAAGTTATATCAAACCCTCCTATACACCACTGAAATTTAAATAAACAAGCCAATAAAACGTGCTTTACTGCCAATAATAACAATGAATAAGAAAATGTGAGCCTACCAAATATAAAAGAATGGGTCTAAAAGAAAGGTTAAGGGTTTGTCCGTTTAAAAAAAGTGACAGCTGTGAACGTTTTGTTATTATAGAATATCATAACTGCCACTTTTACAAGCCAGGAAAATGGAAGCTGTGAATGATTTGTCTTCAACAAACTAAAATAGATGCCATTTTTTAAAACCAAAAAACAGCAGCAGTGAACATCTTGGCTTCATTCAACTGTTAAAGGTGCCATTTTTGCCAGCCAAAAATATGGCAGCTGTGCCTCTTTTGTTATTATAGAATATCATATCTGCCACTTTTGCACGCCAAAAAAATGGCAGTTTTGTGAAGTAAATGGCAGATAGTTGCCATTATTTCCGCCATAGTGATTTAATATTGTTTTATGGTGTGATTAGTAACAACAGTAGGTGGATCACCACAATTCTGGACCTCACCAAGCAACAAAATATTCTCCGTTCAGTCTCGTTCACGGTCGTGAAGCACGGACCTTAGCTACCCCGGACTTTGGCGTTCAAACGGTTCCTATCCAAGACTACCAAGTACAAACCAAAGATTTTCTCGCTCGTGCACTTGCTGTGGTCCAAATGGAAAATCGTCGTGTTCAAGCCTCCAATGCTATCGCGTACAACTCACAAAGAACTGCTCCGACGTTCGAAGAAAACGATTTGGTTCTTGTCGACTGTCCTGTCCTCTCTGACGCCTCTAAAGGTCGCGCTAAGAAGCTCGTGAAGAAATATCGTGGTCCTTTCCAAGTACAAGAAGTGCTTTCTCAAGATAGTTATAATGTGCTTGAAGTTTCAAACCAAAAGCTCCTAAAGAATGTACATGCTGCTCGTCTTAAGGTCTACCATCGCAATGAGGACATTGCTCAACCAAACCACCCGGATGTTGTGAGTCCAGCTTCGGACATTCAAAGTATAACCTCAATAGAAAACAACTTCTTTCATCAACATTATTAGTTTAAGACAAACACCAATTACTACCTTCGTACCTTTGCAAGATATATTATACAAATAGTTTATCCAGAATATTTAGTATAAATACTCTTCTAGATTTAATCAATAAACAATTATATTTTACTTGAATAAATAATCTGTGGCTTAAGCTACTCGAACTCTAATTTATCTCTGTCTGATCAACTTCTAAAGACCGACTTCTCTAACTTATTTTACCGTATCCGTGACGGGTAACTTGTAACGGCTGTGACTTGTAATAGAACGGACTTAAAAATGTATAATAAAAAATAAAAGAACACTTTTATTTCTTATTTAAACATGGCTCTTTCCGCTAATAATCAGAATAGCACCTTTCAAGGTCCGCTAGACTTTACACAAACAAAGAAATCATGGGTACATGCAGTCTCGGGTGGATCTACCAAGGTCTCCAGCTACATGGCAGGACCTACATCAAGTCCCAATCAACCGCCTGAAGGGCAGCCTGGACAGCGTCCTTTTAGTGCCGAGAATTCGTCTCCAACCGACCTTGTTTTGAGCAAAGTCACTCGCCCATTTCTTAAGGGCACAGTGACAAACTCTATTCTCATTGACATTACGAATGTCAGTGACCAAAAGAAACTTTTCTTGAATGAATTTCAAGCATATTGTGAGGGCAACTTGCATCTTTGGGCAGTTGCTGACCAACTCCTCAGGGAGTATGGTCGTATTTACGCAGAAGTTACTGTCTCTCCCTTCTTGCATAAACAATTTGTGGAGAACCCCAATTTTGTTCTCCCTTCCTTCACTGAATCCTTTTCAGCTTATCCTTCGTTGTCATCTTCGGCTGATATCCGAAAGATTACATTCACTGGTCTTCCTCACCAATATGGCCGCAGAGACGGTGGTGTATCTCAACTCACCGAAGATATGAAAATCAATCTTGCCCCTTATGGGGATCTTATTGACTGTGGTTTTGTTACTGGAAGCAGTGGCTTATATGCTGGTGGTGGTTACGCCGTTATCGCTGTCCCTACCAGTTCTACTAGTACTGTTAAGCCCCTGACCCATTCTGTTCCATGGTTCTACGCTCCTTTAGACTACGCTTCTTCCACTGGTGAGGTTTCATCCACATTAGAAGCGGTTAATATTTTAGCTACCTGGGCATCTATGCCCCCTTTCTGCCGTTACTGTCACTCAGAATCACACGCCTTGCTTTACTGTCAATTACGCAAAAAGGCCACCATTTGTCATTTGTGCCATGTTCCTGGTCATATTGCCAAATTTTGCCCTAGAAAGAATAATGCTGGAGATTCTACCGGTAAACGTCGAAAATTGCCTAATACGGATATCGCCGTTCTAAGCCCACCCTCTCCTTCCGCTCCTGTTGCACCTATCACACAAAGCGGTTCTAGCGACCATATCGCTCCCGCTTCACTTCCTGTTGCGAGCCAGGCGAATGCAACCAATGATATTCCTATCGCCCCACCAATCGAAGAGAAACGTCACCGTGTGGATTCACCAGCTCGGGCCACTCGAACAACTTCTACTTTGGCTGACGAACCTCCTAAACCAGTTACAGTCACACCATGTAAGCATTGTGGATTGATGGGTCATAAACGTACTATCCATAAAGACTGTTTAAAAAATCCTCATAAACTTGCTCAACGTACACAAGACTCTGATTTGTATAACCCTGAATTTCCAGAAATTGAAGATGTCGATATGGACCTCGATACTGCTCCCAATGAACCCGTCATCCATCATATAGTCGATTCCCCGTCTCCAAATGGAGACTTTAATCAATAATTTTATTAATCATGAATTTACCCAATACTAATATTAACACAATTATTGACCCCACTGCTATGCCTACTACTTTTACTGCTCCTATCTCCCCGGTTACCTCTTTCTCTTCTCTCGCTGTTGGTTCTCTCAACTGTCGCGGTCTTGCCAAGACAGCTGATATTTCCATCCGTAACAGCTTTATTCGATATCTTCGCACTCGTTCTCTTGATCTGCTGGCACTTCAAGAAACTCACGCTTCATCCTCTCTCCAAGATATATTTCATTCCCAATTCCAAGCCAAAGCTAGTCTCTGGTCTAGTCATTGTGGTTTGGTCTCTTTCTCAGATAAACTTGAATTTTCTAATTCCTTTATTAGCCCTTGTGAACGTATTATTTCTACTACCGTTTCGCATACTTCCAATGCTTTTGATCCGGTGATTGTCACAGTTGTCTACTTCCCGGCATCACGTGTTGAAAGATATGTTTTTCTTAACGATATTACACAACAATATCCTGCTATCTTTCCCACATGCCCTTTACGTACTATTTTGGCCGGTGATTTTAATTATTCCTACTCACGACAATTTTCTTCTCGAATTCGTCAAGCACCATCCACTTGGCTTCATTATATTGATTCCTCGTTTACTGATAGTATCACTCCTCCTGATCAATTAGCCTCTGCTACATTTCATCGTGGTGTTTCACAGTCCTGTATTGATTACGTTTTTGTGTCTAATGATCTTGCCTCTTCCACTCAGTATGATGATTGCACTACCACTTATATTCAACCACAGTGGTCTGACCATCTTTTGCTAAAAGCTCAATTTCGATTGTTTCCTCCCATTAGTGATTCCAACTCTGTTCTTTCAGTAGGTAAGGGTCTTTGGCGAGCTCATCCTCGACTAGCATCCAATCCACATTTTGTCAAGCAACTCAATAGGATACTATCTAAATGTGTCCATCAATTCACTACGCCCATGTCCGCCGCCGAAAAATGGGAATCACTCAAGGCATCCACTGCAACATTTTGTAAGTCCTACAGTAGACGAAAGGCATATACTCTTTCTTGTGCTGAAGATTTGCTCCACAAAAAACGTGCTGGTATAACCAAGAAGTTATCTCTCGATCCTTCCTTGCTCCCGGTCTTGTCGCCTCAGTTGACTGTAGTTGAGCAACAACTGACTTCTCTGCAACAATACCATGTCGATGACCTCGCTTTGCGGTCTGGTATAAGATGGCGTGAAATGGGTGAGTTATCCGCTGGCTATTTAAAACGTACTATCTCTACACGGCAATCTCGTCAAACCATCCCTCCTCTTCTACATCCAAGCTCTTTATCCTTGTGTTCTTCCAAAGATGAAATGCTTGATGCTGCAGCTACCTTTTATAGCGATCTGTATTCTCCCGACCCTATCGACCCTGCTGCTATAGATAGTTTATTAGCGGATTTACCCGACTCGCTACATCTATCACCCTCGGCATCTTCATTCATGATTAGTCCTATTACCCTTGACACTCTTTTGGATGCGTTTTCAAGGACTCCCAAAAAATCTTCCCCGGGTATCGACGGTCTTCCGTACGCTATACTACGACTCATTGTCATACATCCGAGTTGCAGTCAAATAGCTGTAGAGGTGTTCAACAATGCCCTATGTTTCGCTGACATACCGCCCTCGTGGCTACGCTCTTGCGTTACTCTGTTACCCAAGAAACCGCCTTTTGATACTTTAAAAAATTGGCGTCCAATCTCCTTGATCAATACGGATGCTAAAGTCTTCACTCGTATTCTTAGCAGCCGAATGATTAGCACGGCCTCCAAACTTATCAATCCTTACCAAACGGGTTTTGTTAGAGGTCGCTTCATCGCAGATAATGGTCTCCTCATGAAGCTTGTTATGGAACAAGCTCACATATCCTCATCTTCTGGCATAGGTTTACTTTTGGATCAAGAAAAAGCTTATGATCGTGTCCATCCGGATTACCTTCGTGCCGTACTTATCCGATTTGGATACCCTCTCACTTTGGTAGATTGTATTGATCGTCTCTTCTTTAGTACGGACTTACAAATTAACGTAAATGGTTTCTTGTCACAATGTATTCCTCAAAGACGTGGTTTAAAGCAAGGTGACCCTATTAGTCCTATTTTGTTCAATTTAGCCTTTGAACCTCTTCTTCGCAAAATTCAACTTGATTCCAGAATAATGGGGTATAGATTACCTTGTCCTGTTACCAATCCATCAGTGGATCCTGTCAAACTACTTGCGTATGCTGACGACATCATCTGCCTTTTGAATGATCCTAGTGAACTGACACACCTACAAGCCCATTTGTCTCTTTATTCACGTGCTTCCAACGCCAAAGTCAACTTCCATAAAACTGAAGCTGTCTCACTATCTGGAGCTTCTTCCATCTACAATTCGGTTTGGCGGTCAGCATTACTGTCTTATAACATCACCAGCTGGCATGATTGTCAATCCCCTGCTCCGGTTGTGTATTTGGGTTTTCCATTATACACTTCAACTTCTCAGCGTAACTTGTTTCTTGACGGTATTTTGGATAAGGTTTCTAAAGCCTGCCAAATTCACCAACAGCGTGGTTTATCTGTTCGAGGGAGAGCCACTGTCTTAAACTCTCTGGTACTCAGTAAACTCTGGCATGTCCTCCGCGTGGTCTCGGTCCCGATGTCCTTTTTCAAATCTATGCAATCCGTGATCTCGAAATTTATTAATTCTCGTATATTTCCTAAGATCAGCTTTGCAACAGCCTGTTCAAGCCGTTCTTCTGGTGGATTAGGTGTACTTGATCCGGTATTACAACAATCGGCATTACAACTGCGTTGGCTACAACCTCTCATGTCTACACCAACTGATATATTTATTTCTGTTACCCCGCATGTTAAATCTTTTGTATTGCCTCGATTAATTGCCTTCTTGTACTCTCAAGTCTCCACATCCGTATCTGGTAATCACTTTCCAACTGCTCCTCAAGACCTTGACCACCGGTTTTATTTTCTATTTCCTACACGTCGTCCGCCTGCTACCAAAAACATTAACGGGTCACTATATCTTCTTTTCCAAGCCATTGATCGACTACCTAAATCATTCACGGATGTTGTTATCAGCGCTGCTACTTGTTTAGAAATTCCAATGGCTTCCATTATCATTGACTCGCAGCTGTCTACTTTGCGTCGATCTATGGCATCATTGCCTAGTTCCGTATCTTATACTCTTGACTCAGCC